CCAAGGTCCAAGAACCACATCTTTCATTAATGTGCTAATACTGTCTTCTTTTTTTGAACCAAAATATTATTCAAAGTGTGTGTACAGGATTATCTTCAAAGACACCATGATTTACACTTGAGAACCCCTTATAGAATTCAAATTATATATCCTTGTCTTCTCAGAATGATTTGTGAACCAATCATCTTTTGAGACAATTTTCTGTGTTAGGGTGATACTGTCAATTGATTTTGATGAATATCTTCACAAAATATTCAAGAATAAACTATATTCAAAAACCTCCTGAAAAATTTTACATAATCTTATTTGATCAGTCATGATTTTTATAGAAAAACAACTCATTTGTACTTCTTGTTCTTAGATTGTCTTCACATCTTATTCTGCAAGTACACTTGATTTTTTTTTTAGGATTCCTAATTATATCTAGCATGCTTGGGTCTACCAATCATTCAATACCACCAGTCAATGCTGCACTGTCGCGTGTTATGGAAACCTAGCAGGGAATTCCAATCACAAGCCCGGTTAGCTCAGTCGGTAGAGCATTCGACTTTTACAAAGTCTTCACACTCTTGGATGTGATCGAATTGTCGGGGGTTCGAGCCCCCCATTGGGCGCATCTTTTTGCCAATTCAGAACGGATGTTGAGTGCCTAGGAAGCCCACAAGATGAGACGCAGGGGCGTACTTTGTCTTGAAACATGTTTTGCCAGATTTTACTTCCTGATTTGAAACCACTGCATTGGGACAAGTTGGATAATTTTTTTTGAAGCAGCAACAAGGGCAGTGATGTCCTTAGAATCAGACCCCAGACATTAGATTGTAACTTTCAGATGGTGAATATGCATGATTTTTCTTTTGTGGGGGTAAATTTAAGAATATTATTATGGGTGTTCATTTCCCCCCCTCAACATGTTAGCTTCTTTTGTTGTTTAGGTCAAGATATATGATTGTAAAGAATCTACATAGAAAACCATGTGATCAGATGATTAGAATTCATCTTGATTTGTTAATAAGTTGATAAGTTGTGCAGGGGGTTGTTAGTTTTTTTTGTTGAGAGATTGAGATTGAGTTGTCTCTGCAAAACGTTTCAATATTTGAAGAATCCATGAAGAATTTTAGGAAAATATTTGAGAAAACTTCTATACATTGACAGATGGTCAGGCTGAGGACCCCATCAAACTGATCTCAAATACTGAAAATGTTGAGTTCTGAGTGAGGTAGTTGGCTATTTTTGGGATCTTTCTGGTAGTTCCAAGGCTTTGGTACTAGCCACTATAGCCTTTCCACAGTCTATAGGCCATGGGGTCCTTTGTCAAAAAGCTGCCTGCCTACATGGATATCTTTAGCGGAGGAATCTGTGGGATCATTGGATGTCAATTGGGGGGCAGAGGTTGTACAAGGCCTCTTTCCAAGACATTGTTATGCAAGAAAATGCTTTAGATCCACACCTCAAAAAGAATATGTTTGAGGATCTGAGAAAATGTGAATCTTCACCCCATAAGAGCACTCATAATCACTCTATCCTTTGAATAGATCCCAATGTAAATGGACCACCAAAGATGTGTAGGGAAAATAAATGACAAAACCCACCAGGGATTCTAGAAAAGCTTTGAAGTTGTTACCACAAGGACCTTGGCAACTTGACACACACTGGTTTGGTAGAGCCAGTATATGGTGTTTCACAAATGTCGATTAAAATAATTAGACAAGGATCAGCATCTTTGTTTGTATTCAAGGTTCCTGCCCAACTTGTGCTAGTCTTGGGCAACATTTAAGTTTCTGACCTATCCTGAATTTCACTGTTGTTCTTTGGGATATTCCAATGTCAGAGTAAAGATATTCAACTCCCTCTAAGTTCTTACATTTTGGTGTTGGGATTTCTAATGCATCTAGAGGATTGTGCATTTACACAACAACTCTCAGATGGCATGATGTTGCATGCAATTGAGATCTGGTTGTTCCATTATGAGGTGAGCTGTAAATAGTCTCCAACGCTTTTTTGCATTGCAACTTTTCTAACCTGGTTGTTCAATATCTGGTCAAGTGATTGTCTTTGTGTTGTTAGCAATTGATACATTCCAGAATTTCCTATTACCCTATATAAGTTACTTTGTTTTGGGTTTCAAATTCTGACATCAAAGACCAAAGTGATTGTTAGAAATGTCAAGTGAATCACCACTTTCTTATTTTAATTGTTAACATTCACTTTTTGCAGAATCAATAAGGTAGCTGAATTAAAAAGATCATCACAGAACTTAGATGTGGAGGTGTAATTTTTCTTAGAATATGTTTGACCAGAATTCACTCCCTACTTTCACTCCACTTATATTTCCTTTGTACAAGCTTGACTGAATATTCTACATCAACCAGTGTAAAGGATAGAGACCCATGAAATTCCATTAGAATCATACCTTAGGCAAGAGAGATCAACTTGGAAGTGATGAGTAACCAAGATCTTTTTGGTTGTGGTGATAAATTTAAGCATTTGGTTCACTATGTTTTGATTCCTTCAAGATGTTGTAATTTTTTGTTAATGTTTAGGTCAAGATGATTGAGTCAAGAATTTAAAAAATCATATCAAGATCACTTAAATTCATCTCGATCTTGATGTTTAATTAAAACAAGATAATATGTGGGCATGCCCCCAACAGGGGAAATATCATAAAATCACATTTCATTAAAAATTAGCACACTATAACCTACCCCACTCTGATTGATGATAGCCCTCCTAGTAGACACTATAGAACTGTTACTTTAACATCATTTTAAGTGATGTCTGAGATACATAAGTTTAGAACTTTTCACCAAAGTGTAAATTACTTGAAGATTTGTAGCAACTTTGGAGTCCTTTCAAGATGGTAAGACTTTTTATTCAGGCAATATACATAAACATCTTTGTCATGTGGTATCAAGCTCACTATGAAAAACAGGAGAATATGATAAACACATGCATGCAGCAAACAAACTCCCGGTTCAAGTACACCCCTAGAATTGCTTATATCATCTGTCATCATGAGCAAGAGACAAGTTGCAATGAGATCTCAGATCTAGTCAGACAAAGTTTTTAATGCATGATCAAGAACAGAAACAAAATGATTGTAAGTTTTCTGTCCAGAGTACTCAAATTGATTTACTCAGTCCAACAGAAGCAAATGATCACAGATTCAAGTGTTATCATGTAACCCAGAACTCAAGGCTAGGCAGTTCACTGCCTTCAATTGGCAGTGCTCAAGTTGGCAAGATACAATTTCACCTTCACTTTCAAGTGCTCATTCATTGTTTTTTGTTATCTCTTTATTTTGTTTTTTGTTATCATTGATACAACCAAAGATTAAGATTAATAGATACAATCAAAGACCAAAAAGACAAAATAGATGCCCCGAATAATTGACATCTGCAAATTAATCATGGGTTTACAAAAGGTAACAAGATTGATACAATTCAAGGCCAATACAATGATGATGGAATGCAAAAAAGTAGTGTAGTAATAGATGGTACAAATTTGATTGTTGAAAGATATCACACCATTTGCCATAACAAAAATATATAATTGAATACAAAAAACAAGAAGCAAATATATTCAAAGAAATAATCAAAGAGACAGTAATATATTGAGGATGACAAAAAGATGAGCTGATGAAGTACCTAGAATGTGATATGTTTGATAAATCCTTTATCTGGTCTTCATAGCTAGTGGCAAGAACATCCTTTGCACATCAGTTAGTAAGATTTCTCATAGCCAGGCCATGGACAACAGCCACATCATATGCACAGTTAAGTTGATTCTAGAGAAGACTGGCAAAACCATTTACAGTCATTTGATCTGCTGCACTGATAAACTTTTTACAAATTTCCAATCAATCATTCTTAGAACAGTTGTAAGTCAATGGTGATTAGGTCCAGTTTGCGACTATTTCAAGTTTGTCTGCAGTCTCTGTTTTCGATTTTCTTGTGTTATGATGAAGGATGAACCAGACAGTTTTAATGAAAATCACATAAGATAATTTGTTTTTCATCTCTCAATCTTTCAAAACTTAACATTTAGGGTGTTCAAACCTGTGCAAGAAATGTGCAAGACCGACGTGCAAGATCCGTGCAAGATCCGTGCAAGATTTTTTGCACTAATCTTGCACAGTAATTTTTTTGACAACCCGAGTTATTGTGTTCCAAACCGTGCAAAAACCGTGTGAGACCGACTCTTGCAAGTTTTGTGCAAGATCCGTGCAAGTTCTATTCATATCTTGCACAGAACTTGCACAAAACTTGCATGAATTGATTTTGAGGTTTGAACACCCTAATTTCATTAAACTTTTCTCTTTTTATTTTTCACCAACAAAAAAAACAAATTCAAAAACCAAGGATCAACCATAAAAAAAATCATAGGTAAAATTACTTTTAAAAAAGGTAACCAAAAAAGAAGCAAAAAAAAGCAAAGAAAAAGACAAAGAAAAAAAAACAATCTTTTTTTTTGGAAAAAAAAATCAAAACCCAAACTTATAAAATCAATCAACAAACCAAACAAAAAAATCTCATGAGTTTTAAGTTTTTGTCAAAAGAAAAAAAATCTCTTCTTTTTTTAAAAACAAAAAAACAAAAGACAAAAAACCATCCCCTCTGTGATGATAAATTTCAGGAAAATTGAAAAAACATTATGAGGAAAAAAAAGAGTTCATATCCTTTTATGGACTCCCTTTTTTTTCTCTTTTTTAAGTAACAAACAAAAAAAGACACTTCAATTCAAAAATACTGAAGATTTTATGTATATATAGGTAATGAAAATATATGATCAAAAAAAGAGATCATAACCGAAAAAAACCTTTTTCCGACTCAACTCTTTTTAAGAGTTTCAAAGCAAAATCGCACTGGCTTCTATGATCCACTTTTCTGTTTCTTTTCGTTTTAAACTGAATAAGTTGATCACACAGAAGAATCAATCAATTGACTATACCATGATCTAAATGTTCCAAAAAACCAAAAAAACTTACCAGTCCAACCACCTTTCTTCCGTTTCATAGAATCAGCATGACTTTGAAATTCACAATCTGATGCAAGTCGATGTCCGTCACTTGCAATTTTTTTACCTTCTGGCATACCAAGAACACCATATTTAAAATGTCGTCCAATGTTCTCAGCCAAAGCTTTTGTCTCTGAACTACGTGTCCAGATAGAAATTCGGTAAAAAGCTTTTCGCGATGAAACAATTACTCCTGTCACTTCATCAGTAAAAGTCATTTCGCTTGGTGATTTTCCATTGGATGTGTAGGGTGTTTCAAATGTTTCTCCAATTGCTGCCAACATCTGTTAAAAAACAAAGAGATTAGGATAATGGTTTTGATCTCAAACGAAAAAATCAAAAGATGAAAATACGAACAGTGTAAAGCCACCATTTGTCAATTGTTTCACGGTTCTTATCTCTCGGAAGCTGAACACTCCATTTACCACCTTTGTGGTTTGAAGGATCTTCCCATGCAGCTGTTCAAAAGAAAGTATAGGTCAGATGGGGGAATCTTAATTGATAGCTCAACTCAACTTACGTTTGATACCTTCTTTGAAAAGGTAGTAATTTGAACCGATATGAATCAATGAAGGAGGAACGATGTTGTGATAGAGGCTAGGAGGCAAACACAAACAGAAGTTCAATGGATAAGTTATCCAAAATGTACCAAGGGCGTAATAAGAGTAAGAAAGAACGTACCCCCAAAACTCTTCAACTGATTCTACTTCCATCACTCTCTGGATCAATTCATCCCAATTCTTAGCTTTATCATTCTTTGAAGCATTATCGAACCATAATGTCCAAGTTGAATAAAGAGGATGTTTAACGTTGAATTCGGTTTGAGAGCTAAAGACTGTTATAAGGGCATTCGGATCTTGAGGTCCGGCTGGTCCTCTAATCTCTCCATCCTCCAATGAAGATGCGTCATCTTCTTCATCTGTTTGTTGTAATCTTGGAGATGAGACTGATGAAGACGGTATCGAGTTGGTTTCGGCTATAGCAGCTCGTACAGCATTTGATGATGCAGTGGCTGCAGCGGGTGGAAGTTGTGATTTGATGGATTCCGTCGACTCAAGGTTTGAGTCAAGGTTTGTAGTAGCGATGACAGTGGATGTCATGATGAAAATGTTTAAAGATCAAGGCTTGATTGATTGTATTGAGTGAAGAAGGTTATAAGATCAGTCAGAGTTTTTTGATTCTTGATGATGTGATATTGATGTTGGTTTCGTGTAAAGTTGTGTAAAATCGGAATCGAAGATGAGAAGTGATTGAACTGTGATCGATTAGGTTTTAAAAGTAAAGAAAAGAAAGATTGAATGAGTGTAATTCTTTGATGGTAAATAGTGAGGAGAAGAAAGTTGAGCTGATGATAGATGAAAGTAAAGATGAAAAGTTGAAGTGAAAATTAGAATCCCAAAACTAGGAGAAGTACGAAATCAAATCAAAAAATCGAGGTGACGGTTTCTTTAAATATTATAGGATTGAAACTGGAATTTTGATTGATTAAGTTCGATCGGGTCGATAAGGGTTGTTGTTGAGCTCAATTGAACAAAATAAAGAGAAGAGAATGAAAAAAAGGGTCAAAAAGGGTCAAGATTGAAACAAGTTTTGAATTTATGTGTGTTTTTGTGAATCTGTATGAATGAAAAGTCTGAAGGGTTTTTAGGCAGGGTTTGGAAATGAATTCGAATCAAGATGATATGAAAACTGCGTAAAAAAGTTGAGTTTTAAAGTCCAAAGGATTTGATGAAATGTCTCATAGGAAATCACCAAATGTAAGCTGGTAAACAGCTCGATTGAAAGATATCCAAGTTGAAAAGAGATTGATGGATGGGAATGATGAAGACTGACTTTATTGAATCAAATGAGAATGAGGAGATACTCAGTATATGATGGATTGATGGATGGATTGATGGATGGATGGATGGATTGATCGATGATAGAAATGGTAATCAGCTTCGAGTTCAGTGATAGGATCGAAATTTAGTAAGCTATGTTGAAATTCTAAAGTTGAAAGTGATGATGATGAATTAGTAATCGATGAGTCAAAAAGAAGTCAGAATTGGATTGGTAAGAAGATCATTCAAACTTTGAAAAACAAACTGGTGAAGGTGTTTCTTTGATTTTGTTATTTAGTTTACTGAGCTTGAATATGTAGAACTGAAGTTGATTAATTTTTGAAAAGTTGAAATTCGAATCAGTTCTTTATAAGATATAAGACGAGACACAGAGGATGAGAATGAGATGGACAATGATCAAAGTTTTTCAAGCAAAAAGAACAAGTTGATCTGTTGGTCTTAAAATCTAAAATTAAACTCAAAACATCATCTTAAAGCTTCTTAAACTCCTAATATTTAAACTATTAGTGATTACCAATCCAACATCCAATTCATCTATCATCCCACTTCATCATTGTTCATCATCATTCATCCAATCAAAAAATCATCCTCAATCGATCACTCTCTACATATCTCCACTATTTTGGTCTTCAAACAGAATCGAATCATCAAGATCTTATTGATCAATCTGTCCAATTTTGACCGCAGGACCAAACTCCAAACTTAACAGACTCCCTCGCAGGCGCTAAAGCCAGAACGAAGCCTGTCTAGGCTGCACACACTTGACGCCAAATGTGACCTTCCTGGCGTGAGAGGTCGTTAGATTTAGTACCCAGGGGGAAATCGGACCCAATCAAAAACTTTTGCCAAACAAAAGATTCCTTGACTTACTCATAAGCGATCACAGTCCTGCTTCTTCCAGCCATTTCACCCTTGATTCATATCCTTCATATCCTGAGCGGCAGCCATTCTCAAGTTTTCATTACCCTCCAAATTCTGTCTTTTCAATTTTTACACGCAGTGTCCTACTCGGCAGCAGCGAAACTTCAATTCCTCAAGGTAAAATTTTGAAAAGTTCTCTGTTGCAAAACTTTTTCTTTGGGTCCAACTGCGTACGTAAATCTCACGACCTCTCACGCGAGGAAGGTCAGATCTGGCGTGATTCCCCAAGCAGGCTTCGAGTTTCATCACCTGCAAGGGAACTTGTGAAGTCAAAACTCGAACAAATTGGTGTGAATTCTTTGAAAAAGCTCTTTTGAATTGGCTAACTCTATAAATTTTTTTATAAAAGATTGATACTTCAGTTGAGACTTGTTTTGAATGATCTAATGAATCTGTTCTATGAATCAGAGTGTATGTAGATTCATAAAGACATCAGAATGTCTTCCACAGTTACTGTTTTTTCATCTTAAAATTTAATTCCAGTTGCAAGGTGATTTGACTCAAACATTTGAAATTCATAAAGAAAGGATAGATGTATGCCAACACTATATTACTTCTGTCACTGAGTCATTTCAGAGGCGGGATGTGCTCCATGGTTGTCACAGGCTAAGCCTTGTCATTGGGTTGTGACACACAGTCAGAGATGTAGGCGTAGCTGCGCTGGCCGGAGGCTGTGCGCACGAGGGATGCAATTGCAACAAGATGGAGGCGCCCCTTGGGGCGGTTGAGGCAAAGCAACAACAACAAAAAGACGAGAGACAAGACAAAAAGAAGAAACCAAGGACCAACTGAGCTGTGACATTTAACGTGAGGTGTGAGACATGAAGCACAAAAAAAACAAGAACAGACTGAAATAGGAGACATAAGAAAGGTAGAGAGAAACGTAAGGACACGAGGAAAGCAAGAAACATGAGAAAGAGCCAGAAAGAAAACATTTTTTTTCATAGTATACAAACCAGAGAGGTTGAGAAAGAAACCAAAAGAGGAGAAAGCATAAGACAAAAACCGTAACACAAACAAAACAATAGCCAAGTGTTAGAGCGGAAAACAGGAAGTGGAAGGGTGGGACTCTGAAAGCCTAGACTGATGTGTGTGCGACCGTGAGATGACAATGGCCAATCGTGAGCCGTTGAGAGCAAGGTTGAGAGGGAACTGACAAAGAGGTAGAACACGAAACTGGAGCTGGAAGCGACAAACCAGTCGCCTGTGTTGGCGTAGGTGCCCGGTGTGAAACACAGGGACTCTGTTTGGCATGTCCACTACAGGTGATGTGTATGGGAGCGTCAGTACGGATCCTTCAACCACGCAAATTGCCTGATCTGCCTTGTCACAACCCTCCTTAGCATATCCCACTTGTTTAATCGAACATCAAACACAAGGGATGTGCTCCATGGTTGTCACAGGCTAAGCCTTGTCATTGGGTCATGACACACAGTCAGAGATGTAGGCGTAGCTGCGCTGGCCGGATGCTGTGCGCGCGAGGGATGCAATTGCAACAAGATGGAGGCGCCCCTTCTTCCACCCAACTAGACGTGGAGGCAAAGCCGGGTAATGTGTGGAAGAGTGGTGAAGGGAGAGAAGAAGGGCCATGCCGGAACAATAAACAGCGGGGAAAGAAAGAAAAAGAGGGGAGAGGCGAGGAGAACCGGGAGACTCACCACTACTCAAAGATCACTTGCACCCCAACATGACCGTCAAGGGACAGGGGGTGGGCTCTGGTAGTGGCCAGGCGCATGATTGGGTGGTCGTGAACGTAGATCTTGAACGCCTTGGACAACCAGCGACCCAAGTCTTGTATGTGATCAAGCGGTAGACCCGCCTGGACAAAAGCTGTAGCCCCGCCCGACCGCATTGAATGACCTGACTTATGTGAGGAGAAGAAACCACAAAACTTGGACAGGAACCAGGAGCGGGAGGGAGGGTTGCCAGAGAGTTTAAGAAACAGGGGAGACAAAGGTGGAAAACGGCAGTCCCATCAAAGCAAATAACAAGACAGTGTGTCAATTGGGCAGGTGCCTTTAACCGCACACCTTGCCAAGATCACGGTGCTGCCTTTGTAAAAAGGATTGGTTTTCAAATGGGGTAGGAGGTACTTGACAAAACCCCCACACTTCGAGAAGGAAAGGGATGAGCGCAGTATAGCTTTCCTTGAGCAGCGGTAACAAACCGTGTCCGGGACAACCAGCTCACCCAGCCAATGGAGGCCATGGAAACCGGTCACAAGCATGGCAGTGAAAAGGAGATCTCCCGTAAGTGAGACATCCCGTAATTGAGACAGGAGTTTTTCAAAACAAGGATAAGGTCTGGGAGAGTGAGTGAGTCCTTCCGGTTGGTGGGCAGAGAGAACTGAATTTTAGGAGAGTTGATTGCGAGACGTATATTGGGGTAAATGTGTTTGAAGGAGTTTGCGATGGCCGTGAGGTAACCTTTAATGGTCGACGGAGCTAGAGGCTTATTAGTACAATTGGAGACAGTGCAACACGCGTCTGAGACGTAGGCACATAAAGTATTGACAGTAGGAGTGGCTGGCAGTTTAAGACGAATACAGAAAGATAAAAACGCGTTGAGACCAGACAAATAGCTAGATTTTGTGGACTGGGCCAGACTGCGGGCGGCGTCAGCTTCCGTGAGCAAAGCTCGGAAGTGACGCCTGGATGAGAGAGAATCATGCATATTATCTTCTGTAGCCCCCGTCTGGGAGACCAAAGGAAGAAGGGAGAGGTCAAGGAGGGGTGGGAAGGTTGCTTAACCACTTGCTCTCCAAATCACTTTGAGAGAGAGCATCAGCATAGGAGTTTATCAACGCAGGGAGATGGGCTACCTTGACATTGGCCCCCGCAAGCACAATGTGTTGGATGATGAGGCAAAAAAGAGGTCAAACCAAAGGTATTGGGCAATGTGACTGAAAAAGGTCCACCACGTTCATAGAGTCCATGCAGATGAACAGCTTTTTTGCCCTGGCCTTGAGCCCCATAGAAATTGTGCAACCTACCGCGCACAGCTCCATCCAATAGATGTTGCGGGAGGGAGCAGGAACAGTGGCATAAAACCCCACTCGAGTTGAAGGAAACCAGACCCCCAACCCCGTGAGCCAGGCTTCCGTTATCACGAGAAAATTGGCGGTGTCAACCAGCCACGTTCAGGCCTCTAGGAAGAATTGACCCTGAGACGCTTCGATGCTGTCTGCCAGCCAACAGGGGTCGTCCTGAACCTCTTGATTTACATGAATTGGGGCAAAACGCGATGTCTGGTTTGTTAACTTGTCCCAAGCGGCTTGCAGGGCAAACCTACCAAAAGGGAACACATTCAGTCCCCATGACGCCTGTTGGTCAAGACAAATAGAGTGGTGTTTTTCTTGTCTTGTTTTCAAATATGTTTTTTTCTTCTTTAGTGTAATGTTTTACACATATTTGTATTGTTGCTATGGTGCTGATCTGTTTCATTTGATATGTTGGTTATGTTTCTCTCTATTCTCTTTCTATCTTAACTCTTGACTCTCGACTGTGTGCTATTTTTCCTATAAAGCCATCTATGAGTCTTGACAAGTTTTGATCTTCATCTATTCAAACTTGTCATCTCATCACTTCACAAGCAACTTCTTACTTACAACGTATTTGCCTGTTTGTGATTGACTCATAGGTAAGCTTCATCATCATGTTTTCATTTTATCAGTCTTTATTTCTATTTTTTAGTGTCCTAGTGTGTGATCTCCTATCACTGCACCAAATTGAAAATTTACCGCTGAGTTTAGAAAATTGAGCAGACATAGAAAATTATGGAAAAGCTGGGAGGGGTCAGAAAAATATGAAAAAATATTGGTTGGGCCCTTTGGTGCATTCCAATCATCTGGCATATTTTTTCATATTTTTACAACCACAATGCAAATAATGTCAGAAACCCAATTTTGGTCCAAAACTGGCAGGTAGAGAGACAGTGACCTTGCAACACCAACAAAATCATCAATTTTGCTCCAACACATGTAGTGTCTTGACATTCTGAATGCCACATTCTGGCTCTACAGTTTGGGTGCAAAAAAAAGCTGTGTGTCTCCAAGAATGGGTGAAATATATCAAGAGACGTACACCGCAGGAACCATATATAAGCATAGAAGTCATTACTACAATGGCTTCAGCACCTTAATAAACCATGTAGAGCCATCATGTGGCTTCCATAAATTGCAAGTGCTCAGATGATTGAACAAAAATACTCATATTTTTGTGCTTGGAGGTTTTTGCCCAAATATTGCTAGTTTTGGACCAAATTTGAGTTCCTGACATAATATCCCCTGTGAGCATTTTGGTTGGGGAGACTTCAAAAATCATGGCAAAAATATGCAAAATGAGGGGACAGCACCCATGAATTGAATCATTATTTTTTCAATTTTTTCTACCTCCCCTGTATTGATGTCATTTTTCTACAGTTTCAATTTTATAAACTCAGCGGTAAATTGGTGATCTGGTGTAGTGTATGTGTCTCAAAATAAATGGTCTATTCAAACTTGTCATCTCATCACTTCACAAGCAACTTCTTACTTACAATGTATTTGCCTGTTTGTGATTGACTCATAACACCCACCCTAAGACGCTCTGCCAGTCTTGAAGGCAGTGTTTAGGGGCAGAGACGAAATGGCAAAGGGCAGAAACTAGGGCTGCTTTCCTCTCTGGAGAGAGAGAGAAGCAAAGATTATCTGTGTCTATGTAGTATCCTATAACCTTGAGTTGACGTCCTGACAGTTGCTTCTTTCATTCCCATGGGCGATTGAGCGTGTCGAAAAGAAGCAAGAGGCGTGCTTGGTTCAGGGGCATTGGTACACCTTTGAAGCAGGTAAGAGAGTTGGGGTGAGAAATACCCCAAATATCGACCATGAGGTTGTTGAAACATCTTAGTTGCATCTTCTGATAGGATATCCATAAGACAAGCAAGAAGAAAGGGCACCAAATGTTCGGTGATGCAGCCGAGCCAAAATTAGAACACCTGTTGATGTGGTAATCGTTGCCACTCCTGACGCTTTGACGTATCTGCCAGAGAAGCAACATGGGTAGGTTACGGTATGCACGGGCAACATCGCTCTTCCACATGATGAGATGGCCCGTGCCGCGCAAGATGTGTAGCATGAACGGTCCAAAGGATGTGAGGGAGTCATAAGCAACCTTAGCTTTGTCTTTGTTGACAAGATCATTCAACAAAGGAGATCCGAAACACATGTCTGTGCAGACCCGCTGTTTTGAGGAGCCAGCCTTTGTGACCAAATGGAGGGGCGAGACCTTCATACCAGGGAGAAGGGTGCAGAATGGCGGGGAATAACGACCCGCCGCCACTTCCTCATCCCTGGCATCAAACAGAGCTTTTGGGTTATTGTTGCATATAGAGTGATTAGGATGGTCCTTGATGTTAGCATCTGGAACTGCTGAGAGTGGCCAGAAACTGTGCTCAAGACCATGAACTACTGAATCAACTAAAGGACCGTTGGGGTGGTCTTTTAGGAGGTGCTTGAAAACCGGGATATTAAGCGGGCACATGATTTTGAAGAAACCTGGGTATTGAGATAAGGCGTAACAAGCGCATGGGTTGTCCTCCAGAGAAGGGGCTCATGGTAGTGGCTCTGCACGGAGGCTGGAATCTAGAGCCTTTGAGAACCTGACTGGCTCTTCCCAGTTCGACACAAGCCCATGTCTGTACTTCCGTGGGTTGCGATTAGCAGCGACGGGACTGGCACAGAACAGACAACGGGAGACAAGAAACGCGGCAACATGAGAGAAGGCGGTAAAACACAAGGAATAGACCACACTTTAGACTTGGCTCCTGACTGTGAGAACTCAAAAGCAATGTGCTGGCAAGAAATAAAGGGAAAAAGAAGCTTTGTTCAACTTACTTGGTCAACCGCTTCAATGTGTCTTGGACAACGCAAGCTGGTATAGGCGACACTGAATAATCACATTGCGGAGTAATGCTGCTTCCTGGTATGTGTGTGGTTGCATCCAACGACGTTGCACACATTATGGATCCTTCCGTTTTTGCAAGGATCCATACAGTTGCCATTATTCCAATTACCGCAGATCTGCATATTAACAGGAGCATTTTTTGGACCTGCTTGGCGGAAGAGGGAAGTAAGCGTTTGTGGCTTGGCATACAACCGCACCAGGTGTGAGGAAGGGATGAGCTTTGAGGACTCACTTGGCTTGATATTGCCGGCCCATGGGGCCTTAGGCACTGAGGCCGTGGTGACTCTTTGCCAAGCATTTGGGGATCCCTTTTCCGGGAAAGTGTTTGTGGCACCATTGTTGAATACACTTTGTTGTGAGAGACCTTTTTGCTCCGAGCTAACAAGCTTCGAGTTACATCCTGCTGCTGTGGCAAAACTGCGTATTGATACCAATTGGTTGGTGTTGAAGTTGCCAAAGGTGAGTTGAGGCTGCGAAGCAAAAGCCATCCAGAGTTTTGTGTTGTAGTTGACGGTGTATGACCAGTCTCCTTGGTTGGCAAAGAGGTTAGCCATCTCAAACAGGTGTTTGAAATAGTCGTTGACATTGTCTTTTGAGCAAGGAAACATAGCCCCCAATCACAAGTCACTGGCAGGCCAGTGCATCCCACCAACCCTAGCAAGTTATGAACAAGTTATCAGAAAGTTATGAAATGGATATCAAATGGATAACATCCATTGATTGAGGATTTTTTGAGAAGTGGTTGGCATACCACCAAAATTGAGATGATGTCATACAGCATCATCAATATGTACAAAAATGCTCCTGTATTTCCCCACCAAGAATGTATAGTTTATTAACCTTTGTGAGATAAATTGACTGAGTTATTGAGGTTTAAAAAAATCACGGGCAAAAAATACTTTTTTGTGCTATACCTAACAATTGATTCTGGAATATCTTCCAGCCTTAGGAATATAAATACATAGAAAATTAATAATCCTTTTGAAAATATGTTTCTCCACATTTTTGTCCCCTAAAGCCTTCCTGTATGGGCAGTATTTCTACATGTAATTCCTGAATGTGTCTGCAAGTTTGATTTTTTGAAGTTCTTTGCCCCCAGACAAATTTTGAGGGAACATATTGCCAAAATCATTCTGAATTTGATTGATATACAAGTAAATGGTATTTTACAAAGATTTTGGCCATAAATGTTGCCATATTCTGCCTAGAATCAAAGAATCAATCAAAATGTTGACTGCTCATGTACACACCACAATTACATATAGAAATATTGCCCATACAGGAAGGCTTTAGGGGACAAAAATGTGGAGAAACATATCTTCAAAAGGAATATCAATGCTTTTGTGTATGTAAATTGATGAAGCTGGAAGATATTCCAAATTAATTCTTAAGTATAGTACAAAAATAGTATTTTTTGTCCGTGACTTTTTTTCAAACCTCAATAACTCAGTAAATTTATGTCACAAAGGTTAATAAACTATATATTCTTGGTGGAAAAATGCAGGAGCAGGTTTGTACAGATTTATGATGCTGTATGACCTCATCTCAATTTTGCTGGTATGTCGTATTTTGCTGGCGACTGACCCAAAACATCTTGATAGCAGATGGATGTTATGCTGAAAACAAATGAAGTTTTGTTGAAAACATTTTGGAGACATCAGATGTACTGGCCTGCCAGTGGCCAGTAGTTGGGGGCTGTGAAAGGCAAAGATGATTGTGTCTTTGATGATGTCCATAACCCGTTGCCACTCTCGTTTGACTGGAAACCGGTGACAAACTGATGTGAAGATTTTGGTGGGGTGAGGAATTTTCTTGCTGTTGTACTCGTCAGGAGAAGAAACTTTTGCAGGACAGATGTAAAAACCACGCATAAGGGTTTGAAAAATAGAAAAAGGAAAACCCAGAGGCCGGTTTGGTAGGCGGCTGATGATGTTGATCAAAGCTGACCACCCTGCATCTTGGTACAAGTCAATGGCTTCTTGAATTGCTTGAGCTTTAGGAGGCAATGCTTTTGCTGGTTTGAGACCTCCTGCCAAACACGGAATTTTCTTGAGACATTCGTCAGAAGAACTGTCGTCCAAGTCTGAAACCAAAACTTTGTCTTTGGAACAAATGCCTTCTTCTCGTTGTAGTCGCCTAATCTTAGCTGTGTGTGAACTGTGTTTCTTTGTTTTTGATTGACACTTCCTGAAACCTTCTGTGTCGGTCTCCACATGTTTGGCTGTGAGGCCCAGTGGATTTGAGCTGGTACCAGTGTTGTCAGAACATGGTTGGACCTGAGGAAGTTTGGGAATGTTCTTTAGATAATTAAGGAACATAGTTCCCAGGCCGTTTTGGTACAGTCGTTTTCAAAAAGGTTGAAATTGTGGCGTTCTAAAAATTGAGAGGTGGACCATGCGCCACCTGTGAAAGGTATCAGACTTACCTGTCAGATCAGGTCAGATCGACATTGTACAGTATGAGGTAAGCTGTCCACCCATCACGATTCATTCCTTGGTGGTGCAGTGGTCAGAAGGCACGGTATGTTGATGGTAGTCACATGTTCAAAACAGTGTGAATCTTTTGTTGCCAATAGTTTTTGTAGCGACTTGCTGATAGAGCAAAAATATCACATGGAAGCAAACAAGATAGTTGAGTTATTTCATTGTTATATTTTACAACAACAAGCAGATTGAACAAGAAAAACTTGGAAAAATGTGTGATGACAAAAAAGAAAGCCAGTACGGCTCAAACTCAAAAAGGTAGGAGCCTTGAAACGTTTTTGATGCAGTGTGACAGGGGCTCTCATCCAACTGTGCCACAGCAGTTTTTGAAGATGGTGTAGTTATGCTTCTAGACCAGTGTTTCTAAATGCATATTTAACACATTTCACGGGTAGCACATGGTCCACCTCACAATTTTTGAAGCGCCTTGATTTCAACCTTTTTGAAAACAACTGTAAAAATGAAATTTAAATACACTGTCACACCGCATATGTGTGACGTTTTCTCACATACAGACACTGTCCCCAATTGATCCCAGGTGGGTGAGCTCTTGAAGATCTGAGGTCTGGATGATCTACATATGCCAGCACTGATACAAGGCTGAAGGAAGGGTATGTACCCATATAGATGAGGGACTCCGACCATGTTGGTTGTGATCAATAATGGACGGATCACGGCTTTGCGAGAGTATTGAAATTTTTTTGGAGGCGTTTGAGTCGGATTTTATCAAAACTCACGAGCAATATTACCTTCATAGTTATCGTGTGTAATGGCTAGCCAAAATGGCTTAAAAGTTGAAGGCACATAAACAATATTAATTGTAGAATGAAAGTCCACTCAAACAAACAGTTATGCACTAACAAAACTGATTCAGTGGTGAACCAATTTTCTGAAGTTTGAAGCTTGAAGGTTTAGAATTTGTGAATGAAAATGAGATTTGTTGAATGGGTCAAGAAGATTATATCTTCTTTTGTCAAGTTGATAAAACTTTTTAATGATCTCTTTGAATTTATATTATTTCAATCAATGGTCTGTGCTAAATAAAGCCATCAAGATCTCAATCATCTGAGATTTTGGTTTTCTCTTCTTTCTCAAATCATTCACGTCGTAAGTTTTGCCTTTCATTTTTTTTGATTTGCTGGGTGGCGCTGAGATTTTGAATTGGGTTTGGTGTCTTGCTGCCTCAAACAAGTGCGGCGAGGTTCTTGCACATCATTTGTCATGGTGTGTGACACTTCCTTAGGAACGTTCCTAAGGAGTCTTAAGGAACGTATTTTAAGGAACGTTCCCAAACTTCCGCAAGTCCAACCATGCCCTCAGTGTTGTTGGACAAAGAGTTCCCAGACCAAAGAGCTGCTGCTGCATTACTGCCCGCTTGTCCAAGTGCTGGGTTGTCTGAACGTGTGGGATCTGACTGTGTGTTGTTACAGTTTCAATTTTGGTGTGAGTTCTGATCAGCGGATTCTGATTGTTGCTTCCTTGATTAGGTAGCCGTGGTACAAAATTTTCAAAGGCCTCCGGCAGCAGGATTTCTGCTGGTGAGGAGCCCAATGCCCGCATTTGAGTCAGGTACTCCAGATCCAAACCTGTAAGGTGTCCTTCCGTTCTGTATCTATGTCCAGCTTGACAGCTGAAAGCCTGAAGTCGTTAAACTTTGGTAGGAAGAACGGGTTGGAGAAGGGGACTGCCTCCGCAAAGGCCAGCCGCAACTGCCCCAAATCAATGGCTGGGGCCCCGCCGTTCGCGTCAGACCACCGTACTAATTCCACCAAATTTTGTTGTGCAACATTTGAATTTCTAAATTGCAGCAATGCATCTTGGTTGCTTGTTCCTATTATAGATTCCATGAAACAGAGAAGAGGAGAATGTGATGACTCAAAACAAAACAGTCAACTAGGTTTACCAATACGGGCATAGTGTAAATCTTGATGATGTTTATCTGGGATAAAACTTTATCTCATCTAGATGACCATCCATATATATCAGAAGTTTCCAGATCTTTGCACTGTGATTCCTATTGTTGTTCTGTGTCTCTCCAATGGTAGATTTGAAAACATGGCCAACTAAGGTTCGGTTGATATTCCGTGGGTGTTCTACCATACCTTGCTTCACACGCACATGTTGTGATGTCTAATACTCTGAAAGCCTAGACTGATGTGTGTGCGACCATGAGATGACAACGGCCAATCGTGAGCCGGCAAGAGCAAGGTTGAGAGGGAACTGACAAAGAGGTAGAACACAAAACTGGAGCTGGAAGCAACAAACCCGTCGCCTGTGTCGGCCTAGGTGCCCGGTGTGAAACACGGGGACGCTGTTTGGCACGTCCACTACAGGTGATGTGTATGGAAGCATCAGTACAGATCCTTCAACTGCGCAAATTGCCTGATCTGCCTTGTTACAACCCTCCTTAGCATATCCCACTTGTTTAATCGAACATCAAACACAAAAAAAACAAAAAAAGGAAACCCCCAAAATCATGAATTGATACATATGTAATCACTTGATCTCATTGATCAAGTTTTAACACTCACCCAATATGTAAGAAAAAGTATCATCATTAGTTTAGAAATCTATAAAACATTATAAATATATCATATGTTCTATAAAAAAAATCATCTAAATCATACAAAAAATAAACTTATGAACAAAAAAAATAAGATTATGAAAACATATATAAGTACAATTGTGATGCATGAACAAAAAAAAACTGCGATGTGATGTAAAGTACAAAACAAACAAACAAAAAATAAAAATAAACGGTACATTGTGAGTTTACAAGTTGCTATCTTGAATCTTGCATATATAAAAGAGTAGAAAAACAAAGATTATATGTATGTGATCATAATCAATAACAATAAAGATATATAAATAAAAATTATGTTGATAATCAAACTGAATTGTTGTAGTTGATCTTGTTTGATTTCTTCTTCTTCTTCTTCTTTACGATCCTTTCAATAATAAAGCTTCCATTCGGTTTTGAACATCTTCAATCTTATAAGGTTTCACACAAATCTACCAAAAAAACATATAACACAAAATCAGTTCTGATCTACAATTTTATTTTCTTTTCTTTTGAAGAAGGGTAAATAAAAATCTTTTTCGTTGTTACAAAGAAAGATTAAGAAATCATGACTTACGTCATCAAATCCACTTGCAAGAAACTGTTCAGTTTGTTCTTTCCTTGCATTCCCAGTCTGACTCCCCAAAAAAGTACATATTAACAATCCATATCTTCTACAAATCGAATACATTAGAGATAGAAAACATTTACAAAGACTTACTACTGCAATTACAGGATACCTTTGTTTAACTTTCCCTGTCTTTTCAGAAGCCCTAAGTTCAGTGATAGCGTCTAATCCATTCATGACTAACCAAAAAAAATCATCAAGATTAGTGTTGCATTTTAATAATAAAAGATTTGAAACAAAAACAATGAATCATACCAGGCATTTGAATATCCATCAAGACGATTCCAATCCTACCTAATTCAGATGGATGTTGATCATCTTCATATAAAATATCTAATCCTTGTCTACCATCCATGGCAACCGAAACAGAATAACCTTTCAAACTTAATTGACGTTTGATCACCTTAACATTGATTAAATTATCTTCAACCTATTCATAAAAGAAAACGAAAAATTCAGGATCAAAATCAATCCATTGAGTAGTGATGAAGTTTTTTTTAAAGAGGGAGATCAAGACAAACAACAAGAACATGTGTAGCTAGTTTGATAGGATCCGTACTTGTTGAAGATTGAACGATTTGAACACTCGTTTGTCTTCTTAAACTAGGTGGTCTTAAACTTTCACCATTATTGTCTTCCGTTCCACTTCCCATTCGTCCTGCGTCTGGGCTTGGTAATCGTTTCTTTGTTAAGGGCATTGAGCCGACTGACATCAATGAAGCAGCTGAACGTATCTCTGCGTCTTTCTCTAAACCGTTTTGCATCCCTAACCTCTTAGCCACTCCTCTCAATCTTGAGGATGCACCACCACCACCAGGACTATCCACTGTCGGGTTTTTTTTCGGACCTGATCCTCGTTTGGCTGGAATCACAAATGAAAACACTGAACCTTGACCTTTAGTAGAAACAACTTCAATAAATCCACCATGATTTTCAATCAAACAACGTGATACATAAAGACCTAATCCTGAACCACCATATTGATCTTGTGTTGGATTCACTTGAGCAAACCTTGCAAATAATTTAGCTAATTCGTCTTGACTTAAACCTCTGGCTGTATCTCTAACTCCTACTTTAGCGTACACTAAATTCTGGGTTCCTGCTTCATCTGCTAATTCGGGTTTTAATGTTCCAATTCTTCTGGCTTCTGGATCAAGTTCTGGACAACTTGTAAAAAGTTCAACATGAATCGTTACTACTCTTCTACCTTCACTAGTGGATGTATATCGTAATGCATTCGAAAGAAAGTTGATCGTCACTTGAGCTAATCGATTTGGATCAGCTATGATGTAAGCTGGTTTCTCTAAACCTTCTCCTACTTGAATGTCTAACTTGACATTTTTGGATTGAGCTTCCAAATTCAGAACGCAGTTAAGAATCAGATGCCCTGAACATCGAACATCAATGACAGGAAAGAAACTCCTTTGACTTACCTTCAATGAGGTACATTGATAAGACTTCGCAAACTCTTTCCAGTAAGTTGAATTCAGTCTTGATGGTGGTAAGCAAACCCATGCTAAGTTTCGATACCTGAAAAAGATGGAGGAAAACGACGGTGAGCCAAGTATTAGGATATACAAAATGACGGGTATTGATTTACATTGATGATATCATCCGCAATCCTTGACCTGAAGGACATAGATGAAATGAAAGTTCGAAGCCGTGGCCATTCAGTTACGCTGTCTCTCCAACCTTTCATCAGAAAAAACAGAAACGTAGGCGATTTGATAACTCAACTGATGAGAAGCACAAAGCTGGATACTCTCCACTGCATCGATATCTTCTTCTAACTCTTGCTTAAACCATTTTAATTCAGATTTAGATAAAGTTCTTTCTTGATCATCATCTTGATCGTCATCATCATCTTCATGTACTAGATTATCGTATATTGATCTGATTGAAGTATGAAGTAATTCAGCAGCTTGATGAATTCCATGTAATGGGTTTCTTATCTCATGAGATGTCTAAGAAGCATAAGAAATGATCATCAATAAGAAAACGAACAACTCAAAGATGATTCAAGAAAAATTATATCAAAAAGCCAATAAAAACGAACCATATCAATAAAAGCTTCTTGTTGTCTTTTACTTTCTTCAGCATCACGAGCTCTAGCTTCAGCAGCTTCTAGCTGTTTACGTTCCGATTCCTTACGAGCCGTCACATCAGTCGTCGAACCTAAACAACCAGCAAACACTTTCGATTCATCATAAAATGGTGAAAGTTCATATAAACACCAAGATCCATCTTTCCATCTAAATTCTCCTTTGGTAGTCATTTGTGCTTTAAAATTAATTTCAAATTCGTTTCGCATCCTATCCCTATCATCTAAACAAATTTGTTCTATCCATTCTTCTAAATTTTCTCCTGAATGATCTGATGGAATCAATTTACATTGTGATCTGAATGCATTATTTGCAAAGGTCACTCTTCCTTCAATATCCCATTGAATAATGCCTACTGGACTTAACATTGAAATCGCTTCAAAGGTATGATATAAATCTTTAAATCTTGCTTCATTCTCTCTTAACAATTTCGTTCGACTCGTCACCGCATTCTCTAATCTTTGTCTCATCTTCGATAATTGTAAATGGGTATTAATCCTGGCTACTAATTCTTTCGCTTCAAACGGTTTAACTAAATAATCATCCGCTCCTTCTGCCAATCCTTCAATTCGAATCTCTGATCCTGCATGAGCCGAAAGTAAGATCACCGAGATCCCTGCTGTATCCGGATCTGTCTTCAATCGTTTTAACAATTCGAATCCATTCAAGGCCGGCATCATCACATCTGAAACGACTAGATCAGGATGATGAGCCTTAGCCCAATGATAAGCTTCTAATCCATCCGAGGCTTCTGCTACGGTGTAGTATCGACTTAAAACACTCCTGACAAATGATCTCATGTCATCATTATCATCCGCAATCAAGATCGTCGAACCGGAAGTCGACATCAGATCACTTTCGCCATTCATTCCTCCCATTGAATCCGACGAGCATCTTGAACCAGACGTATCTGAGCAAGCTGGAGATACAGTCATCAGTGAGGATGAGATAGGTTCAATGTCTCCTAACATCCATCTTCTTGCATTAGAAGCCACTACTCGATCATTTATCTTTTCTAATTCAGTCTCGGGTGAATAATCCAATAAATCGGACGGTAGATGAGATATGCCGAGTAAGAGAGTAGCAGTAAAGGTCGAACCACGTCCGACTTCGCTCTCGACTTCTAATTTCCCGCGATGTAGCTTGATAATATCTGTGTTACCAAACAAGATACCAGCGTGAATCATTGGATCAACCCATCGAAACCAGAGAGATGTGGTCCTCACCTTGAACCAATGCCAATCCAATACCGGTCCCTTCGGCCTGTTGAGCAGAATCTTCAACTCGATGAAATCTAAACCACAGCCCAAACCAATCAAAATTTGAACAAACTAAACTCGCGAACAGGCAAAGCTATATTACAGACATAAAACATACCGATCAAATATCTTTGGGAGTTGGTCGCTTTTGATTCCTACTCCCGTATCACTAACTGATAAATAACATTTCGAAAAATCAAATCTAATCCGTACAATCACTTTTCCACCTTTACCCGTGAATTCTATTAAATTATTCAAAGATAGATAGGTCAGCTGGTTGGTGAACTCCGATGTATACAAATGAAAATGAGCAAAGGAGACATACTCATGCTATTCGATATCAGATTGAATAACACTAATGATTCAACAGAACCAGTCAGTTTTCACCCTCCTCTGCCGCTTTTAGACCAAAAAGAACGAGCCTTTTTCCATGAAATCGTGATCAACCCACACCCTCGCACTTGAGACCGGACAGTCAACAATCAGTTGCAATTGATTCTACGAAACCCAACCCACGAAAGATAAGATTGATTTTGTAAGCCTTCGATGAGAAAAATAAAGATCAGGAGAGAGAATTACCTTCGCCATCGCGCTTCTGAACAACGAAGCTAAATCAGCTGTCAGTTTAGATAGATCGGTATTTCTAAACCGTGCACCCATCTTCCCAGCTTCAAATCTTGAAAGATCTAATAACTGATTAACTTGGTTGATCAATCTTTGAGTATTCCTCTGTAGAGATGAAACCAACGCGAATAAGTGAGTAAATGATCGAAGAGCTCCGGAATCAAAAAATCAACATACTTCAACAACCTTTAATCGATCGCGTGCTGCAATACTGATATCATGCGGTGAACTCAATATATCCGAAATCGGTCCCACAATCAATGTCAATGGTGTCCTCAACTCATCTGTTAGAAAAACAAGGCATTAATTATTTAATTATTCCTCCCAAAGGTTGCGAAACTTGAAAGAACAACTCACGTGAGATATTTGTAAAGAATGCTGTCTTGGCTCGATCCAGAGATGCCAGATCTTCGAGTCTTTGAGCCTAGAACGCTCCGCACCTCAATCCTTCTATTCAGAAAACAAAGAGGAGAGGAGAGACACAAACCTCTTCTTCGTGTCCGATGACAGTTGAAAGTCCAGTGGACAGTTGTCTCGTAAGCAAATTGATGAACAAAGCATAGGCTTCAGTCCAATAGAGTCTAGGAGAGAGACCGAACACGATCACGGCCAAAGGAGCAGCATCTTCGCTCGTACTGATAGGCATAACACTGTATACGCCAAAGTGATGAAGATAAAAAGAGTTTTGAATCAGATTTCCTTTGTTGAATCTACTTGATCCTTTTCAATATCTTACACAGCTGATCTAGGTTCATCATTCCAACCTCTTTTCTCAAATCCCAACGCACGATCACCAAGATCAGAAATATAGATTGGCCTTCTGAGCGTACACGCTTCTTGTAAGGGCCAAGTCAAATGTTTATCTTCATTGAAGACCACTGTAGAGTTAGTCGAAGAACTTGTTCCACTACAAGATGGTGCTGTGGCAGACGTTGATTGTATACTGATCTCTATCGTGTTTGGTGCTGAGGGATGTCCGGATGGGACTGAGACGGTTCCATCCAACGTCAATTGTAGGAGGGTCGTCGACTCCGCGTCTTCCCCTGTTCCTAGTACAGAAGCTTTGCGTGGCGATTTCTTGGTTTCACAGGTATACATCTAAATTTTCCAGACGAGCACAAATGAGAAAAAGTCGTTGAGGAAACTGGTTTTTCTGTGAGATCACTTCTGGGAAACCCGAGAAAATCTTCTCACAATGGCAAAGGGTAAATCGTAAGGATTCTTAGAGATGCTTTCCAAACAACCTTCTTTATATGAGATCCTGTTCCTTGATACCAAAGTGATCTGAACCAAGTCTCTCAACGTGCCTAATCTTCTTTCTGCTACAACTCGTGAGGTGGTCCTACGTAAATTAAAAATCAGACACAGATGGCTAATCGGAAACAAAAGTGAGCGTGTACTAACTCGAAAGAAGGGTTTAGGATACCTTCCACTTGACCAGTTGGTCCACGGACTGGGATCCAGCTTTTCAACAGAGAATATGGATCAATGTCTCTTCTTCGTAGTTTGAACAAGATTGCGAGCAATAGACCAACCTGAAAGAGTGATAACATTCTTCTTTTCGCACGCTCGCGGGATTTTCAGGATCTCGGTCAAAAAATAGCAGACTATCATAGACTGTGTAGACCTCTCCATTTAAGACCGAATCTGCCACCTCTCCTAGATCGGCCCATAGCCTGTGGTGCATAGAGGGACAGTCAAATTATTGAAGTGGTAAAAATAGAACTGGAAGAAGATCTTACTCAGCCCATCCCTGTGCGCCACTCTGCCCCAACAAAGTAGGGTGTTTCCTTCCACACGTCTTTACATATGCATCTTTGAGTTGTATGTAAGACGAAAAGGGGTCAATCATCACCCTAAGCTTCATATGAACAAAATGCGATGATCTTACCATTGTAAAGCATCACGCACTCTTCGCCCCATAACAAACTGCAAATGAGAAGAAAAAGACCGAATTTCAGCCAAAGAATGAAAAACGCAACAAGAATGAGCAATGATCAAGGGAATTAACCTCATTCGATATGGAGCACTTAGGATCAATCCTACCATAGATCGAAGCGTAGGAGACCAATCTTGGATAGGACCAATCGGCGTATCTTCCCATTTTCTGGCCAAGATAGCTCTTCCCATATTGGTCCTTTTCAACGAATCAAGAAAAGTATCACGAAGTGGATCTAGTTCCATTGGAATTGATTGATTCGTTTCCTCGGCAGTCGACTTCTCATCATCAATCATTATTGATGGAAAATTGTCTTTAATAGTCGCAACACTACCAGTGCTACTACTACCATGCTCAATTTCGATTAGCTCTGGCTTGAGTTCATTGGAAATTGATTTTCGTCTTTTGTTCGATCTAGAAACTACTCTTCTGGCTTCAGATTCGCCTAACCATGCTTGCTGTGAGGATAAGGGTTGTTGAGATGCTGCTTGGCTCAGAGGATCTAATAACGGCAAACTAGCTTCTAGATGCAAGGTAGGTGGATGCTCATTTGTGGTGTTGGTTTTAATTCGCTTAGTTGGTGTTGGAGGATTTAGAAAGGTAACCTGAGGCACGGGAGTATTCCAAGGAAATGGACTGAACGATTTGAGAGGGAGTGGTGAGGGTGCCTGTATGACGGTCACCGTAAATAAAATGAGATGATGAGGTGAATATCTATGGAGTTTCTGAAAATACTTTCTGGACGGTGTTGAAGTTTGTTCAACTTCAATGTCTTGATTGCTTGAATCGCATTTGATGATCGTAGGTATCATGATCACTTCGGCATCTGCACTCGAATCACCACCAAGTGTGGACTCATCATTATCGTTTTCCTTCTTTCTTATATTATTCTTGAATCTAGAATGAAGACTAGGACGAAGTTTGGTCCTGAACTCATAAATTGGAAGGTTATGATTCATGTCACTACGATTTTCATGATTGTCGTCATGATCACTATTAAATAATTCTTTGACCCAATTTAACCATCTCCTCAGGTCTTGATATGATAGGACTCTAATTAAATCCCAACAAAGGCTTCCGTCTTTATCTCTCTGACTTGATTTGAGATCATAATGTAATACCTTACAAGCTAATTCCTCGGCTGCAAAATTTGACCAAGTAGTTTTCAAAAGATCGCCCAAAGTACGATCTCGACCTGCATCTGCATCCTCACCTGTGATATGAGGGAAAGTCAAATCCGAAGCAGTTCTAGTGGTTTTATGGGATGCAGTGAAAGCTGGATCATCATTTTCATTGACAAATGATGAAGGTTGATGTCCATGCGGAATTGGACCTTTTTCTTCTGGATCTTCGAATTTTCCAACAAAGTTTCTTCGACAGAGAGCTAAATGTAATGCTTGAGCTGGAATTGAGAATGCTGGTAATGGTGAATTTGAGAAGAATGATCTGATTGGTGGTGGTGGGATTGGTGACGGTGTAGTAGGGCTGGGAGTCAAATTTGAAGTGATTGCAGGGTCAGATTGATGAGAGAATGCATGAGAGGATGATCTTGAGAGTGGAGGTGCATTTAAATGTTCAAAATCGATCGTACTTGAGCTTAAGTGATGGAAATCTGATGTAGGTGAGATTGGAGGTAGATGGAATGGGAATGTTGTTGTTGACGGTGTAATACGATAAGGAAATGAGATACCAGGAGGTGATTGATCGAAGCTAGTAGTGGTTGTTTTAGTTGGTGATGATAATGATAGTGATAATGGATCGAATGTAGAATGATGATATGATTTAGCTGGAGAGAGGGCTGAAGCAGGTTTGATATTAGCATTACTGAGTTGATGATGATGAGACTGATGATCGACAGGTTGATAATGATGAAGTTCAGTAGTATGAAGATTAGATTGATTTGAAAGTAGAGTGTTCAAGTTGGTGATTCTGTTGGGAGATGAGATTGATGGTTTACTTGGAGTTAAACTTGAAGTTGTGTTGATTTGAATATGTTGAGGATGTTGTTGACGTTGAGATTGAGGTGAAGTTCTCATATTAGATCGTGAGCCTGGTTGATTGATATCCATTTCTGATGATCAAGTTGAATGTGTTTAACTCTACACTGTCGTTTCCATGATCTAGTGCCAATGGATATGAATATGAAGCCAGAATGATATCCTACTGTTTAGAATGTTTGATGATGATTGAGGATTGAGGTTAATGCTGGTTAATGATAAAGTGGTTTTAAGTCTTGAGTGTTGAATCTCAGTCTGTGCATATATTTCAAGTCAACAGATTACCAATCAAGTTTCAAGTGATTCCTACAGAATTTGATTAATATTATCATTAATGAAACCAACCATTCAAACCTTTTCATCGATCACATCCTACTTTCTAATTTTTTGATCCTGGAAAAACTGTCTGTGATTCCTATAGAATTGAATCAGAGGTCCTTTCAAGCTTTTGAACTTCACAATCCGATCTTTACATCGGTAGAGTGTGGAGTTCAACAGTGATCGAAGTTCTGAAGCTTACATCAATTGAAGGATGATCATGATACTTGACTAAAGCTTGAATTCTTGAGCTGTGATTCGTGAAAGAGTGAGTGCTTTGAATTGGCATTGACATCAGACTCAGACAGATCATCATGGATTTTCTTCATCACTTGTGATCTGATGGCTGTAATCTCACACACTTGAAGTTGAGCAAAGTACTACCTTGAAAATGATCTTACAAGTGGATTGCATTTAAGCAATAGATATACAAGTGAAGTCATCAAACAGATCTCTTTAGAATTGGTGAAGATTGAATCTCCAAATCAGGTTGAGTACAGGATAGTCGACATGCCGATGATAACTACACACCAAGCTTTTGTTTGAGCTATTCCAAGTCGATTGCAAAGTGGATCGAGAGAAAAAATAGCCAATATAACATTCAACGCTTTGACCTAGTCCTTCGTTTGGTGGACAAAGCTTCTACTTCAGTTTTACTCTCAGCCGAAGACTTTGGCTTTTTGGACTTGGATACTGAAGCTGGAGTTGCATCACTTTTTCGCTTATTACGATTTGAATCAATTGCAGTCAAACTATCCCAACCACCTCGTTCCCCTAGAAGCTTAATTGCTGAAAACGCCTGTAAGCTGACGGGTTGAACTGAGAGTCGACCTCGATTCAAAAGAGCCATTTCACGAATTGCAGTAAGATCTTCGGATGTGATGTATTCAGGAAGTGGGATGGGATGGGATGCTTCAGTCAGAGATTGTAGGAATTTGAGAGGTACGAAGTGAGTAAGATGAGAGACGAATTCGACATCAACCTACAATTGGCAGAGATAAGGGGAGTCAATCAGATGTAAGAATCATTTCTACAAAACCAAAAAAAGCAAAGTGCAAGTTAATGATTGACTCACCATATACCAGGTTGGCGAGCTCTCCGATGATTTGGGATCATGATAGGGATGAGATGGATCGAACGCTGTAACTGATTTGGATTGAAACCAATTTCAGCTTTCTTTGATTGAGACCAAAACACGCCTGGAAAATAAAGCTGGAGACCGTTAATGCTAACAATCTGGATATCCAGCTCGATGAATTTTCGCAATGGCTGAAATCCCGGGAACTTTACCTGTTAATATTCTCAACGAGAAGAAATTCAGTACATGAGAAACGGGAATGAACGAATGTCCGATTATCTGAATCAAATAATTCACTTACAGTTCGAATGGTAAAACAAAACTGGATCCCCAACTTTCATTCGATCCCTCATAAGGTTTTTGGCTTCGTGGTCTGATAAGAATAGGATGCGCGGAATTGCCCAAATCAGGATTTCCTCAACAAATTGACATCGGTGAAGGCAGGTTACTGACTGCGTACACCATCCCAGTGTTCAACGCCAGCTTTCTCCAAGTGAGTAGCCTAGAAAGACAGGACCATGATGAGATGGTGATATCTTGCTATACGAGCGTGATTGGCTACTCTAACTCACGGAGAATGCCACATCTTTGCCTGCTCTTCAATCAAGAAGTCTCTGGTTCAGATATGTTTCAAATCGATCACCGAAGAAAATAAAACTTATGTACTCACCCTTGACGATTCGAGTCTCTGGTTCAGCCTGTGATTCCTCGTGAATGTTTCGGCTTGATGATCAGTTTCTTCTCAAGATATCATTCTACTCGAATGTGTACCGAAAACATCGAATTCATGATAAGAACGCAGACCTTCATGAGCCACGCGGATTCGGCAATTTCAGACATCACTTGTTTTATGATATTATTTTCGATGTGAAGTAGCTATTTAAGTTGAATTCGATATGTGAAGTTATCAATCCTATGGGACCTCAAGTCGAGAAATGGTTTGCAGCAACCTTTGGATGGACTTGTGCTGACAAAACTTTTTTCTCAGGAAAGTCCACACTGGATTACCCGGTCCTTGGGCCCCGTGAAAGTCAGCAAGTCAGTGGACCGTGGCACAGACTGGACCTCGGACCTCGGTTCATGGAAAATGAAAAGGTCAAGAATATCTGATCACATTTGACCTCAGTATTTTGTTCAGGTTGTCTGCATGGACCTATAATAAGCGAAACTCAAGCTACAAATGTGATATACTATTTTACATAGGACCACATAGCATTACAATGCAAGGCAGGGCCCGTCTGTATGTATATAAGATATGCATGCCGTATACCCATCTAATTTGCGACATTCGAAGCGGGAATCTTGGGGAGTGGGGGTTCGGATTATATGATGAGGAAATGGTGACCAATGGATGCCAGCTTGTATAGATTTGACTCTGGATGAGAGTACGATATTTGCGGTACCACCACATCTCAAGCAGATGCTAGTGGAGCAAAGTCTCCTAGGCTATCAATCACGAATTCCGGGATGATCTTAGCATCAGCTTGTTCGATTTCTGCCTTCTTCACTACCCCTGTCAGAACCAAGAGAGTAGAGAGTTGGCCGTTGATACCAAAAAGAATATCTGTGTCGAGCCGATCACCTATCATACAAGTCTTTGAACGATCAAGATGATGTCTTGAAGATTCAATGCAAATACGTCAGTTCAAGTGCAATACGACCTGTGATAATTTCTGATTGCACTCACTTATCCAAGATGCAATCCAACATGGGCTGATTAGGTTTCCCGACTACAATAGGGGTCTTCTTTCCTGCAACAGCGTAACGCAGAGGAGCTGAGATGGCCCCAGACCCTGGAAATATGGAGCCATCTGTCGGAAACGTCTGCAGTGGCGCAGAGTGATAAGGTGAAGTCAGTTTGAATTCCGTAAAACTTCACTGAATTGAAGGCAGGCCTTACAGAATCGTCATTGGTGAGGATGAAATGACAATCCTCATTTTCGATCAGGTAACGATGTGCCTTGGCCAATTTCTTGTAACTTGCACAGATGATAAAGCGCGGAAGTATGATGAAAGTCAGATGTAGGCTCGCAGAGCATTCGAGATAGAGAAGTTACTAACTTGATGTGCATATCAAATCCACAAAGGACAGCACCAACCTCTTTATCAGTGGTGACAGACGAAAAATCCATCAACTCAAGAAACTCGTTATCGGCCGGATCCTAGTGATTCCACAAATTGGATTAAATGTGATATAATGAGCAGGTGCTTGTGTGGATTCCGACCAGTCAATAAAAAGGCCCACCGTGCCGCCGCAATACCTGATGTTTTCGCTCGCTAGTTCATCCTCAACTCCCTTTTCCCCAATGACGTAAACCTTTTTATGTTCAGGAAATTTCAAAATACGCTTAAGGTATAGAGCCGTAGCGTATGCTGAACCAAAAATCTCGTCCTACATGCAATTTAGCAGCATCAGTGATGTTGCTCGGGTATATGTAGGACAAGGACAAGGAATACTAAATCGGCCTCAATACCCAACCTATCAAATTTCGACTTGAAACTCTCCCGACTTTTGGTGGCATTGTTAGTGACGAAGAACAACCGTTTCCCGCGACCACGGAGATAAGCCAAAACGTCTTTGACACCAGGAATAAGCTGATCGCCGTGCCAGATCACACCATCGCAATCGAAGAGATAGTTTTCGAAGCGATCAATGAAAGCTTTTCTGTCAGAATCAGATTCGATGAAGCTGGCCATGGTAAAGTAAGCTGATTCTAATCAGGAAACTCTTTGTTCTCGGCCAGAGATGATGATTGCCAAGTGGTGATATTTAATTCAACTGCAATTTACAAGACGATACCTGTCATGGAAAGATGACACAGACATGTCACACCAATCACAATCACCAATCACATATGATGGTGTGAATAGTGACTGCTCTGTTACACTCCACTACATGACAAAAGTTGAAACTTGAATTAACATATCCTTGTAGCACGTCAACGTGCACACACGGAGAGTTTTGAAACAAATTTGAAAGTCTTTTGGTTGGAGTTAGACTGAGATTGTTGTTGAGCAAGGTTGAGCACCCTTTGTGAATAGTGATTTACATACTAGGTCTTTGGCGCCCAGCCGCCACATAGCCTAAGCTTGCTGCTTACATCACACCATGCCACATGCACACATGCATTATCTGAGTATTAAACAGCTGAACATGTCATATTACTTGCATTGCAAACTTTAGCTAATAGAACACCCCCATGCTGCTGTGCTGTTTTTGCATGCATTATTAATAATTGTAAGATCATAAACACAGTCAGCAAATATTTGTCCAACATGTCAGCCAGGGCATAAGTACAAGGTGTACCTATCTCCTGGCTGACATGCAACAAGTACAAGTACAAGCAGTTTTTGAATTCTTTGTCAAATCTAATTCTTTTCTATATCTTTCTATTTCAATTCCTTCTTTCTAATATTTTCAAATATTCTATTTTTCTTCAAACTAGTTTCTTTTCTCACAAACTGGCATTACAAGCAGGACTTATGTAAAAGTCTCTAAGCTGAATGATGTAGTTATGAGCTTGTAAAGCAACAGGATCTCAGTTTGGATAATGGGTTGGAGTGATGACCCAACCCAACATCTCAAAACTAAAACTAGTTAGGACTTGACGCTTGGGAAACGTCTGTCCAACTGTCTGAGATTCCTTAGCTGAATAAGTTCGTAATTGCAGATATGAAGCAAAGATTCTTGGCCACGTGAACAAGTGGTCAGATAGGGGTTAATAATTATGTAAGAATGACAGTCACCGGGTTTCCTGTTTAAACATCTATCAAATTAAGGATTATTAGTCTGGTGTGCGTGTCCTAAGTGTGGTTCAAATTGGGTATAAAAAGACCTGTGGCTTTCTATCCTTTTGTTGCTTCTTCATCTTTTATATATTTAAAAAATTTAGTTATTCTTACTAGCATTTAAAGCTTACAGTGTCCCAATCACTATCAATCTTAGCTATTTAAAGTAAATTCCTTAAATCCCTTAGGTCAGTGATTGCTACGCTCAACTTTATCCCACCTTGAATTCCATAAATCATTACATTCTATAAACATATATTAGTCTCAATTTGAGCTACTTAGCTGTTCAATACCTCTGCTTATTGACACAACAGCTTATCCCATTAAATGCTTCTGATTTACTTGAAGTCCAGTCCCTCTATGTGAAAAAGCAGGCATCACCTTCTGCCATGGGGCCAACATGCAAGTGCAAAAACAACAACAAAACACCACAGTTTTATGGAACTGTGGGTCTAATACCTGTCACATGTATTCGCTGTATTACTTCTGCAATTCTATAAGGACCACAAGTCATCTTGCTGCATTTGGCAGCAATGAAATAGAAGGGAAAAGATGCAGTATTTTTCTTGGTTGTGTACAATATGTGTACTAAAATGTTGTGCTGCAACTGGGGTACAATGATTAGTCAACCTTTTTGATTTTATCTTGAGCAATTACACAATGCCAATTTGAGGATTGTAACTTTGTTTATGCTGTGATTAAGTTGGGAGAGAATTTATCTTTTTTGTTCTGCCTTGTGTGTTGATGGCACTCAGCTATTATATCACATCACTTGAATCTCACATTTCAGCTAATGCCACCCCTGTGCTACTTTCCTTGGAATGTGGTGTCTACCTCTATCAACCCTGAGCCAGGAACACTGCAGAGATGTTGCTTTTTTTGCACCACATTGCAGCATAGATCACATCAAAATATGCGGCCTTCCCCATAGCGCAACCAGATCCTTGGGATTCATGTTTTTTTTTTAACCGCAACAGCACTTGTTGTGGTACGGTCCACAAAAAAGTTGAGATTTGAGTTTTTTTGGTGCTGTTGCACATGTTGTGTTGCACAACCTTGCCTGCCTTTTGGTTATTGTAGCACAGGTGGCTGCCATTTGCTACATGTTGTGGTGCAACACTGCTGCAAATACATGTTTTGTGGAGTGTTGCATTGCTGGCCCAGGGTTGCCTCTCTCACAAGCTTGCACTTGCAATGTTGCCATGATATTCTCAACTTCTGAAACATGTAGGCACCAGTAGAGTTGCATGCCAGTCTCCCTGCTGCCAGTCTGGCTTTGGTGGCTTGGGGGACCGGGTTGGTATAACATAGTTGGAGATAATCAGGGTCAAGCATAATTATTCAGTGATTAGCTTACTGCCCCCGCCCTGGCTTGGCCAGTCCAGGGATGGACTTGGGCAGAAAATCTTGGCCTTTATTTCAGAGTCAAGTAACCATAGATGGCTTATGAACTTTTGTGATTGTAGAAAGCAGGTGAGCAGACTTCATAATTATGACACAACCTTCTTTTGTATATGCATCCCACATCAATCCACTGTCTACTCTGAATATGTCCATGAGCATATCATATATATCCATTTTTGTGTCACAGATGTTGTGGAGTATTGCTTTATATATGTTTGGTTGTGTTGTAGACAAACCAAAGACTTCCCACACTGGAACTTCTGACAGTCACAAACTAACTACAATGCTCTCTAAATCACAATGTGCAAAAACACACAAGAAATCTTGAAGGCTAGGAGGGTTGAATTGGTGATGAATAAAAGGGGATGGTTTTTTTCACATTTTCTTGCAAGACATAATTCCTGTTTCAATGGAAAAAAGAGCCACATACCAGACAATTATTTTCCTCAGTACAGTGCTAGTGTATACCCCGCTGTATCTTGGAACACATGGTACTTGTGTCTTTAGATACCACCTACTATACACTCAGAGCACACTTGGTAGTGACTGTTCATACTCATAATCCAATTTATAGGCAATTAATTGCTGCAGGTGTATCAAAGACTTTGGACAAATTTGAGTATACCATATTATCTTATCTCATCATCATCATCTCACTCTCCCTTTGCAAAAAGTCACCAGTATCCAATGTGCAACAGAACATTTGGATAAGAATTTCCTCTTTTTAAGTTATTCATAGTTCTGCACCCTCAATTTGAATTCAGTGTGTTATCTTGAGAATGCAGATATTCTTGTTGTGAAACCAAGGAGGGTTGGAGATTGCATCTTCTTGAGCAATTTGTTTGATCTTTTGATCAAGACTGTTGGATATTCACTCATTATATAATTTTCTATGCTTTATTCAATACAATATTATCATAAAAGGTGGGCTGAGCCTGGTTTGATTTAGTAGTTGGTCAAGTAAGCAAAGCTGAAAAATTTGCAACATTTAACCATGATTTATTGAAGATCCCTTCTTTTACAAATTTCCAAATGATTTGTTCCAATAATCAGGTAGAAGGTTTATTGCTGTTCATATTGTTACATAAACAGAGAAGTGTTGATCAAAAACATTCAGATACAGATTTGATCTTTCTTTTGAGCTGAAAATGAAGTTTCATTTGGCAAAAACCAAGAAGACACCACCTCATGATTCCAACACATATTATTTTAACACATAGAAGCTCACAAGAGACTCACAATCATAGATCAATAGTTTAAAGGTAAAAATCAATCTTGCCTTCATCTGCATCCAGTATCAAAGCAGAAACTTGATTTGATTCACCCTTATGGTTACAGGATAGAGCCTTGATGGATAGTTGAATCAACACTTGAAGCGACCCGCTCCAAAAAGCGGGTGCGGAGCGGCGGCGGGGCGGTCCGCCCCCCCGGCCTACAATTTTTTTGAGCTTGGGCTCCAACCGACCCGCCACCGCTTTCTTTCCGAGATTATGTACATAGCGGATCGGACAGTTAGCGCGGCGGGTCTTTTGTCCGCCCCGCAGGCCGCTCTCAGAGCGGTATGCAGCGGTTCGTGCCAGATTGACACATCCATCTCCAGATGGCTGTGTCCATGCCTCCACCTCAACCTATCCCACACGAAATCGTACGACACCTTCACCAGCCTCCACCACCTTTTCCGCAGGTTCCATCATATCTCGATTGTCATCCACGAAGCCCTTCGAAACTTGGCGGAAAACCTTCCGATATCCCTCGATATCCTTTGTTTTTGGCCAAACCTTCACCAAATTGACGATTCCAATATCGCAATAGTTTGGCATGACTCAAAGTAAGACGCCATGCCCTTCCTTCCATCTTATCTCACTTCGAGTGCAAGCCAAACTGACGTCACAACCCTTACAAAATGATGGACCCAAATATGAGAAAGATAAACATATAGAATCAATCTTTTTGCAAAATCAACAATCACTTATTGAATACTGACACGATTTTTTTTGTTAATTTTGAATATAGATGAAATGAATGATCCGGAATTTGTGAAAGACATTGATATAAATGATCAACGAAATAGGTATCTCTTAACTAAAGGACCAACCCGAGCTGAAGTACATATTCACACTCTGAATCAAATTAACAAGATTTTTGGTTATGAGAGCTAATTTATTTTGAAATTTGTTTTAGATTCAACAAGAGACAGGCTGTTCAGTAACGACAAAAGGTCAATGGTCAGTATCATACATTCTCTTTTCTTACAACCCGAAAAGATTACTGAATTACGATGGGTTCATTAGGTACCCAGATCGAACGATGGCAAACGATCGAGATCCACCACTTTATCTTCATTTAACAGCTACAACTCAAGAAGTATTAGATAAAGGGATTGCAAAAGTGAATGAATTGATAGACCAAGATCTAGGTCCACTAACTGAACAACCGGACGTCTCACGAATGTTTTTCAGTCTTTCTTCACAAATCCTGAGAAAGTTTTTCCTTTCTTTTTCTTCTTGCAGGTTTACTCATCAAAGACGTGAAAGACAACCTAGAGAACGTCAGAAATGGCCAGAACATAAAATCGAAATCGGACTTGAAAGTTTAAGAAACTTGAATGTTAGGGCTAAAGTAGTAGGACCAGGGGTGAGAAATGATCGTTTTAGCTCAATGGATTCAGATTGGTTGACTAATCATCAGGATTTCTTGAATCATTTCGATTGTTAGGGTATGTTTGTAAAATATATCCAAAGTGAAACTGGATCTAGAGTACAGATCAAAGGGATGGGATCTGGATTTTATGAAACTGACACGGGTACCGAGTCGACCGAACCCATGCATATCAACGTCACGTAAGTCTTTCATTAACTTTCTTTACAATATCGTACATATATCTTTCTTGCATGTGAATAATTAAAAAAAAATGTGAATAAATTTCCGCCTCGTGCCGCTCCCTTGCCCTGAAATTTAATGAAGCGGAGCAAAAGCGGCGCCGATAGGCGCCGCGCTTCATGATACATGTAGCGGGAGCTTTTTGAAAGCGAATCGAGAGCGTGTTCATCTGTAGCGCCAAAGCGCACCGCTCCGAAATTTGCTTCAAAAAGCGGAGCGCCGCGGAGCGCTTCAGGTGTTGGTTGAATCCTTGTTTCAATGATTTTAGAAGTGGTGTTGAGACAGAAGATGCACCATAGATTAAACTTGGGTTTGAGAATCGGAAAAAAGAATGATGAGCATAAAATCAAATGAGGTAGATTGAGAGATAGGAGATTAGTAATCAATGTAACAACCCATGATCAATAATCTTTAAGCAATGTTAATGAAATAAACTATGATGATTAAATGAACTTGGATTTGTAATTAGTTGAATATATCTGAGGTATTCAATAGACTTGAAGCACAAGTCTTGGAATTGCAGATGTAACTCAAATGATTGATTGCAGTTTCTTAGTTGGACTTGAGGAGAAAAAGACTGAAGCAATGTGTTAGCTCATTTCCTTGTTTTAGCAAAAAGTGTTTGCATGTTGTTGTTATTTTCTCCATTTTTTTTGAGGTTTGGAGAGGTATCCTTTCATCTGTAATTTCCATGAAAAAAGAACTATTGAATAAGTCAAAGGTGATGTTTATAACATGTCAATCAAGATCTTGTATCCCATGGAGATGCTTTTAATAATATGACAACCTTTGATTGATATGATTTGCATGTTGTTGATTGCCAATATTCTTGTGCCGGCTAGAAGGATAGCATAACTGAGTCAGTGGACAGAAAATTAACAGGATGAGCTGGACTCAAAGCAACACCATCAAGGAGTAATGAAACACCTAGCCAAGTGAGTCAAGGACTTGCACAATGGTATGGATATTTCACAAGGAGGACATGGTATGGGTGTGTGGTGATTTTTTCACACAGACACACTTGTCTTTTAACATTATAGTAGATTTATAGGATTTGCAGAATCCTTTGTCTACAGCTGGGTCAACTGACTGTCCAGTGTCAACATTGCAGTTGATAAGGGGAAAATGAGCCTTGTGGCACCTCTTAATTGATGGGTCTATACCAGGTCCAAGGAAAGACCTACATGTGTGCACATTGACATGCTACCAGGATATTTACATGGTGGAAGCAACCTGGAGATTTCCGTGTTCATGGAATTGGCGGATTTTTCAGTGGTATGGTAACAGACTGATATATTGAAGGTCCATCTTGGTGGTCTTAAGTGCCTGTTCTGGGGCCACAAAACTGATGTCTTTTTGAGCTTTGTTTGTTTGTCTCAAGAGTTATTTGTGTCATTCTTGGAAGGAAATAGATGACATGAATATGACAATGGCCTAAGAGTATATCTGCAGGATACGTGTTTGCCATGTACTTTGCTTTTCTCACATTCCAGAGTTCAACTTGAGAAAAAATTTGTGGGATGCGTGCTCAGGATGTTTGCTCGTCCAAAACAATTCCTCTGTAGGAAAAAGACAACATGCTGCATCTTTTTGGTGGCTTTGCTTGAGCATCACACGCAATTTCACAAAATCATGGACTGCAGTGATTTTTGGTGTCCGGTGTTAGTTAAATGTAACAGCTCGCCAGCTTGATCTCCCTGATAGAACGCGAGCCTCAAACATATAGTGCTGTTGGTGTAAGTACTCTGTGAAGATGTTTTCATGAAAAATATGCTTGGTTCATGTCAGAGTTCAGCTCCTCCGCCCCACCCTTTACATATCCCTCATGATGCAAACATTGGGTTCTTATTTTCAAGATAAACTGCCATTACTGTCGTTTTGAAGATTTCGAGCATTTGTGTTAGTGAGCCCTACTGTGTGTTTCGATGAACTCAAAACTTGCAGCTATCATTTTATCTATTCTATCCTCTTTGTACATATCTTGTCCCTCTCTTGTCAAAATCTCGAGTAGATATTTAAAGGGCGCAGATACCCCTTGTGGACAGTAGCAGTGATAGATAGTTTCAGAAAACCAACCACTCAGGAAAGAGTTTCAGGTATCTGGAAACAGTTAAGATCAGACTTCAGTCTTTGACAAAAGACTGATGGTTGATCGAAAACGAAATCACAATCTAAATGAGAAGATTGTAAAAACAATAATTAAGTTCGATTGCAAACACAAAAAGAGAGAGAACTAATTCTAAGATAACTAACACCTGGAAACAGTTAAGATCAGACTTCAGTCTTTGACAAAAGACTGATGGTTGATCGAAAACAAAATCACAATCTAAATGAGAAGATTGTAAAAATAATAATTAAGTTCGATGAGAAAAAGAGAACAACATTTAGAAAGAGAAGTTGATCTATATATAATGTGATCATCGAGCTTAATGAATGACGTCATGATGTTAGAAAGAACTAGTAATGCTCATATTACCACAACCTCCATTAGACGCGTAATGTATTCTTTGGAGTCGTCGCTACGCGACACTCAATTCCCCCCCATCTTGCTAACATCGTGCAAACCCATATCTTCACAGAATTTGCCGTGCTTGCAAGGCGAAAGAGCTTTTGTCATAATGTCAGTTTCCATGTCTTCCGTCAGAATGTAATGTACTGTTAATTGCTTCGATCCAACCAATTCTCTAATCCAGTGATACTTCACATCCACATGCTTTGTCCGTCTCTTAAATTTTTCATTCTTGGATAAAGCTATTGCTCCTTGATTGTCTAATTTGAATATCGGAGCTGACTTTTGACCAATGTTCATTCCTTTCATTAAATTTGTCACCCAAACAATATCTTGCGCTCCTTCATAAGCCGACCTATATTCAGCCTCTGTTGTAGAAGTCGCCACACTTTCTTGCTTTTTGCTATTCCAATTCACCGTACTTGTACCCATCTTCGTAACATAACCTCCAGTTGACCTTCTTGTAACCGGACATGACGCAAAATCCGCATCTGCAAACCCACTGAGTTCCAAATCCTTTCCTCCTAACACCAAACCTAGATCTTGCGTACCCTTCAAAAAGCGTAACACCCTCTTGAATGCTACCCAATGCACTACTGATGGTCTATTGAGATGTTGTGAAAGCTGAGAGACGACAAATGCTAAATCAGGCCTTGTTGTGTTATTTAGGTACATCAGCTTTCCCACCGCTTTTCGATAATTGACTTTAAGATTATCAAACTCTTCATTTTCTTTTTCCGATCCCGGTGTTAAGTAACTGTTCAATACCATTGGTGATCCGACAGGCTTACAATCTGTCATTCCGTAGTCTTCTAGCAAATCACGCACGTATTGTTGTTGCGATAATGTGATTGTTCTAGCTTGACGATTGCGAGTGACTTTCATTCCTAGAATGTATTTGAACTCTACATTCTCGTCCATCTGAAATTTTGAAGTGATTGCTGAGTGAAATTGCTTGAAATTGTTAGTGGCGATAACCATGTCGTCCACATGAAGATGAACAATGCATTTCCAACTTGGGTCATTGGAAATGAATACACTAGCATCGACAGGAGAAGGAAACAGGAAAATGGTGGCAAAGAAGGCTTTGATTGTATCATACCACACTTTCGGCGCTTGCTTCAAACCATACAGAGCTCGCCTAAGTTTCAACACGGTTTCTGCAGTTGCTCCTTCAATGTTCAGACCTTTTGGAATCTTCATAAAAATTGTTTCCTCCGGTTTTCCGTTGAGAAACGCTGCTACAGCATCCATCTGATAGACATCCAGATCTTCAACTGCCGCAAGCGCACACACAATTCGCAATGAGATGAGGCGAGCGGTCGGAGCAAACGTTTCGTTGTAGTCTTTGCCAAACTCTTGAGAGAAACCTTGGGCACAAAGTCGAGCTTTGTATTTTAACAGCTCTCCATCTGCACCTAGCTTCTTCTTGAAGACCCACGTTGTGCCGATCACACGACGACCAGCTGGTAAAATCACAACCTCCCAGACTTTTCGATTATCCATGTTTTTAAGCTCTGCTTCAATTGCTTTCGTCCAGTCGTCTTTATCAGATGACATGAGAGCTTGTCGATAAGTGCGAGGTGAGAGAGTTTTGGTGACCACCACATTTGCTGTTCGTCTCGATCCTTCAGGCAGAATGTTGAAAGTGCTGATGTTACTTGAAATGTCTCTTGGCGCTTCACTCCACACTTGATATTCCCAACTAGGCTTTGACTTTTGAGTCAACTGCTGAACGACGTCGGCCTCTTCGGATTCCTCTTCTTCATCTTCTGCCTCCGGATCAGAACCAGGTTGATCTTCTACCGGCGTTGTGAATGGTTCAACATTTGATGATGAAGTTGGAGAATCAGGCAGTGGAGGTGGTGACGGTGGATCAGTAGTTTGAATTTCCGCAGTTGAGTCTTCATCGTCTTCCTCAAACAGATTGTTGATTGATGACTGTGACTCTGCTCCTGATTTGATTCCTGGGAAGTTGTTAACGTCAAATGTAACGTCGTGAGAATACACGATTCTTCCGTTGTCCAGACGCACTCGATAATTCTTCATTCCAACTTGATACCCCAGAAGAATACCGGGAGTTGAGGTGTTATCAAACTTTCGTCGGAACTGTTTAGGAATCAGGACATACGCTCTGCAACCAAAAGGCTTCAAGCGTGAGTAGTCAAACTTTCTTCCCCACCACAGCTCATAAGCTGATTTGTCTTTCGTGATCTTTGCCGGTGTGATGTTCTCAAGAAAGACAGAAGTTACTACAGCCTCACCCCAGAAGTTGTACGGAAGATTGGCCTGTCTCAACAAAGTTCTGGCTTTCTCTGTTGTCGTCCGATTTCCTCGTTCAGATACCGGATTTTGTTGTGGAGTGTATGGTGCACTCAGGTGAGAAGTAGTTCCATCTTCTTTCAATAACTTCAAGAACTCTTTTGACATATACTCCCCTCCTTGATCATTCACA